GTTTCTAGCTCACAAGAAATTGATCCAAAAAACGCGCACTTCAAATTTAAAAAACTTACTATAGGCAGTGAGTTGCACTTTCCAGTTTTGGCACAATCATTTTTGGACCAAGCTATTGATCCTTGGCCATCAAAAGTGCCACCTCCTGAGACTGTTAACCCATCAATATTTCGGAAAACAACCCAGCCATCTTGTGACTTGAGCTTTTCTGGCTCTGCCGGAGCCTGCAGGGTTCCTTCAACCCGAATGCTAACCGGTGCTTTGCAGGGCCCTTGAAACTTCACTGGACCAGCCATGTAGTTTCCTTTTGCTATCAGAACCGTGCTCGGAGTTGTGGATGCGCATGCTTCTTTCCAAGCCCTATTAATAGCCTAAAATCAATAGCATATTCAAAAGGTTACTAAGATGTTAAGATATACGCCCGCATTCATAGTTTGACAACATTTACAATGTACTAAATATCTGGGAAGAGAAATATCACATTTGTATAATGTGCACAAAAGTTTTACCTGGCTATCATCTGTCTTGCCATCAGCCTTGGCTCCATACTTCTTGATATCAAAATCTGCAGCTCTGGCTTTTATGGAAAATGATATCAAGAACAAAAAGAATGTAGTTCCAAGAATAAATTTTGAACCCATGTGAGGCTTCTTTTGTATAACAACTTTGAGCTTCTAAATTCTAATAACCTTGAGTACTTTTTCAATGAAGGGTTTCGTTATATAGTGTAGCTAAGGAAGCTGAAAACCACAAAATCTTGAACCTAATTTTATGTGGACTAAATCTATGAGGTCCTCATGTTTTTGGTGATGATTTCTTTAACTCCTCAAATTATCCTCCAATTTTAGGTGCTATAGTTTCTTAATTTACCTGCTAACCAGGCTTTTGCACCTCTAACCTCTCACAAGTACAAATATGCATGTCTAGCTTTTTCCGAGAACCCACGTGTGTGGAAGAGCTTATTGGCCTCCAACAGGGTAAAGCTTATTAATTCATTGCTCTATTACATTTAATGCACATTAGAAAGTCTCATATCACCACGCAAATTGGATATTTTGAATGGTTATCTTGGAAAGCTCTATGGCTTGGACATTAATAAATAATATAAATGAAGGCTTTTTATCACAAAACGTCCTAGAGGTTTACGAAATTATCAGGTTGCGTCCTTTATATTTTTTTGTGTCATTTATGGTCCTTAAGGTTAATACATGGGATCCGGATAGAGGTGTCAAACGGGTCGTGCCGTGCCGGCCCATCCCATTTAAACTCGTGCTTTTAAAGTTTTCGTGTCGGGCCGGGCCGGCCCATTTAATTTATCGGGCCGTGCCGTGCCAGCCCATTTAGTAAAATTATTGATCCCGGCCCGGCCCAAAGCCCATGTTCATATTGAAATGGGCCGGGCCGGGCCGGACTCGTGCCGTGCCCGTGCTCGTGCTCGTGCCACTGCCA